TGCTTCTCATGATGTACCTTTTTAAAAATAACCTATTCACACCTAATTTTACAACAAGCTATGTTTTAATTTGTTTTTTAATTGGAAGAAAATTGCTTTACAATGTTGTTGGTTTCTGCCATACAACAATGTGAATCAGCCATAATTATACACATATCCCTCCTTCTTGAACCTCCCTCCTTACCCCCATCCCACCACTGTAGGTCATCACAGAGCACCAAGTTGGGCTCTCTGTGTTACATAGCAACTTCAACAAGCTTTTCTTTATGTGTTTGTATACATTTGAGGGATGTGCCTTTATTAATTTTATGCAGTGATTTCAATTTAGTTTTTATGAATACAGTAACTTTGTTTTCAAACTCACTTTATCAAATTATGCAAGAGTAAATTCCATAATTATAATACATTAATTTACAATAGTACAGGTTGATTTGAAAACAAACAGAGTATTTTTGATAAGCATACAGCTCACCAGGTAGAAGCAGAGATGTACTACAGTGTAGGCAACTGTAGAAAATAGCATATTACTGAGAAAATAGCATATTACTGGTATCGGTCACTGTGTTTTACAGTGAAAATGCCAAGCATTGTTAGTTTGTTAAGTCAATTAGCATGGAAGTGGGCTAGATAAAAAGCAGTCTGTACCCAAAGAGTTGTGCAGATAAAATGGTGAGGATAGAGTAATTATTATTCATCCAAAATGATGGGCAAAAACCACTATGTTACTAAAATCCAGAGAACATTAAAGAAGTTCACCATGACTAAAATACAGCTTCTGTGAAAGACAGATCTGGGAAATTTGGTTGGAAAGCCAAGCTGGAGACAGAAACTTCATTTGGTAGTAATATCTGAAGCAGAGGCACTCATTCGTTCACCAAATATTTATTGGGTAATTAGCATAATTCAGGCCTTTGTGGTTCACAGGGGTCTAATATTAGGCAAGGCTAGAATAAATGGTGAATTTATTATTTATAGTTGTCCAAAAAAGAAGTGACAAGAGTGAATAGAGCATTCCTAGGAATCAGGAAGATGAAACTGAGAGCAGAGTATTTCAAAGGTAAAATTAAATTTGACTTCACTGTCAATATTTGAAATAAATTAGAGTAAGCAAGATGATTTTGAGTCTAGGATGATTTTGAAATATGCTGAAAGATATTTCAAACAGAATCAGGCACTTAGTTTAAAAAGTACATTTAAGAGAGGAAAAAGAAGTCATGCCTTTAATTGGGATATGTTGAGTTTCAGTGACACTAGACATACTTCTGCTTTCCTGCCATAGTCCAAACAAACCATGGGATATACTTATATTGCTTAAATTGTGTTTGGAAATTAATTTATAAACATCTAAAGGATCACTTGTGTAAACCTGGGAACTTTCTAAGAGCACATCTTCCATTGTAGTACCAATAGTGGGCATTTAATAATCTTTTATATCCTTTTAAAATTTCTCCCAGATTGATTCCAAACTGTATGCATTAAAGGGGAAATATACCTTGAAGTATAATAACTGGTAATATATTATAAAACTTGATTTTAAAACAAGAGTAGCTAATTTTTAAGAATATCCTTAAGAATGTTGTTGTTCAGTCATCAGTTGTGTCCAGCTCTTTGCAACCCCGTGGAATTGCAGTATGCCAGGCTTCCCTGTTCTTCACTAACTCCCAGTTTACTCAAACTCACGTCCATTGAGTTAGTGATGCCATCCAACCAACTCATCCTCTGTGGCCCGCTTCTTCTCCTGCCCTCAATTATTCCCAGCATTAGAGTCTTTTCCAATGAATCGGCTCTTTGAATCAGGTGGCCAGAGTATTGAAGCTTCAGCTTCAGCATCAGTCCTTATATTCAGGGTTGATTTCTTTTAGGATTAACTGGTTTGATCTCCTTGCTGTCCAAAGGACACTAAAGAGTCTTCTCCAACACCACAGTTCAAAAGCATCAATCCTTCAGTGCTCAGCCTTCTTTATGGTCCAGCTCTCACCTTTGTACATGACTACTGGAAAACCATAGCTTTGACTAGACAGACATTTGTCTGCAAAGTGATGTCTCTGCTTTTTAATACATTTCCTAGGTTTATCATAGCTTTTCTTCCAAGGAGCAAGCGTCTTTTAATTTCATGGCTGCAGTCACTGTATGCAGTGATTTTTGGAGCCCAAGAAAATAAAGTCTGTCACAGTTTCCATTGTTTCCCCATCTATTTGTCATAAATTGATGGGGGACCAGATGCCATGATCTTTGTTTTCTGAATGCTGAATTTTAAGCCAACTTTTTCACTCTTCTGTTTTACCTTCATCAAGAGGCTCTTTAGTTCCTCTTTGCTTTTTGCCGTAAGTGTGGTGTCATCTGCATGTCTGAGATTATTGATACTTCTCGTAGCAACCTTGATTCCAGCTTGTGCTTCATTCAGCCCAGCATTTTGCGTGATATATTCTGCATAGAAGTTAAATAAGCAGGGTGACAATATTCAGCCTTGATATACTCCTTTTCCAATTTGGAACCAGTCCATTGTTCCACGGCCTGTTCTCAGTGTTGCTTCTTGACCTGCATACAGATTTCTCAGGAGGAAGGTAAGGTGGTCTGGTAATCCATCTCTTTCAGAATTTTCCACAGTTTGTTGTGATTCACACAGTTAAAGGCTTTAGCATAGTCAATGAAGCAGAAGTTTTTCCGGAATTCCCTTGTTTTTCTATGATCCAACAAATGTTGGCAATTTCATCTCTGGTTCCTCTGCTTTTCCTAATTTCAGCTTGTACATCTGAAAGTTTTTGGTTCATATACTGTTGAAGCCTAGCTTGAAGAATTTTGAGCATTACTTTGCTAGCATGTGAGGTGAGCACAATTGTGTGGTAGTTTAAACACTCTTTGGCATTGCCCTTCTTTGGGATTGGAATGAAAACTGACCTTTTCCAGTCCTGTGGCCACTACTGAGTTTTCCATATTTGCTGGCATATTGACTGTAGCACTTTCATAGCATCATCTTTTAGATTTTGAAATAGCTCAGCTGTAATTCCATCACCTCCACTAGCTTTATTCATCATGATGCTTCCTCAGGCCCGCTTGACTTCACACTCCAGGATGTCTGGCTCTAGGTGAGTGATCATACGATTGTGGTTATCTGGGTCCTTAAGACCTTTTTTTGTACAGTTCTTCTGTGTCTTCTTGCCACCTCTTCTTAATATCTTCTGCTTCTGTTATGTCCATACCATTCTGTCCTTTATCTTGCCCATCTTAAGAATAAAGATGGATATACTGGCAACAGCTCTCATTTGAAGAAAGTCTGACCCAGTAAGACCTGGAATAACTACACACTAAGAAAAAAAAGTATCAATTTATTTTATCATCATCTAGGCAAGACTTAGCATATTAAATGGCAGAGACATCACTTTGCCAACAAAGGTCTCTATAGTCAAAGCTATGGTTTTTCTAGTAGTCATTCTAGTATGAATGTGAGAGTTGGACCATAAAGAAGTCTAAGCTCTGAAGAATTGATGCTTTTTTAATTTGGTGCTGAAGAAGACTCTTTGAGAGTCCCTTGAACTGCAAGGAGATCAAACCAGTCAATCCTAAAGGAAATCAACCCTGAATATTCACTGGTAAGACTGATGCTGAAGCTGAAGCTCCAATACTTTGGCCACCTGATGCTAAGAACTGACTCATTGGAAAAGACCCTGATGCTGGGAAAGATTGAGGGCAGGAGGATAAGGGGACGACAGAGGATGAGATGGTTGGATGGCATCACCAGCTCGATGGACATGAGTTTGAGCAGGCTCCGGGAGTTGGTGATGGACAGGGAAGCCTAGCATGCTGCAGTCCTTGGGATTGCAAAGAGTCAGACACGACTCAGCAACTGAACAAGACAGGCAAGACACAACAGAGGAGGATATTTAGTGTGGCAATCAACAGACTTAAACAAATTTTATATCATTTTAGGTTCATATCTTTTCATCTTAGTGCTCACAGTTGCTAAGTGAAAAACTGAAGTCTGGGTGACCAATAGTGATATTTAGTAATGGAGACAAAGTTTGATATGGAGTCTGATATTTGGCACTATGTGTGAAGGACTATGACAAGCAAGAGCAGGACTTGCCTCAAAATTTTAAAGACTTTTCAAGTAGTTCTCTTAAAAAATTTCTCTGAGTTAAAGTAATATTATACCAAAATGTTTTATTTTTGCTTGTGCTTAAGTTACTATTATGCCATTTGCTTTCTAACAACTGGAAGAATTATTGTAAACAAAGATTAAATTATTGTAAACAAAGATTAAACAGGAACTGATGTCCACAACTACCCAAAGGTTAGTTTTTTGCATCTGATGAAATTATTTCCATGAAGATACTGAATATTTATATCATTGTAAAATTCCATTATTGGTTTACATTATGGATAGATGCTTTTGTTTTTGTGTCACTTCAAGATTGAATTGTAGATTCTCTTCATCTGTTAGACTCACCTTGGGGTTTTTCCTATGGATTATTTTCACTTTTAAATGGAGAGAATTATAAGCATGTGAATACACTGTTTCTCTTATTTCAGAAACAGTGTGGTTGCACAGAAGACAGAATGTGGGCACTGGGCTCAGGAATAATTCAAATCTTGGTTTTCTCATTTACTGGTTATATGACATTAGGCAAGTTACTTAACCTGTCTAAGCCTTAATTTTATCATCTCTAAAATGATAGCAATTATACTAACTCCTCCTCTCTCAACCTTCCCTTTGGGTGTCTTCTAATTCATAAGACAGTGGTTTGCTTAGTATATATTTTTAATAGCCATTTGTAACTTCAAAATATAGCAGTCTGGTTTCATACACTGCAAATTATGGTGAATGAGTTACCATAGATTATTTTCTTATTTCCTCCTCTTATTCAATCACTCTTTTGCTCTAATCTTAAAAATCTCTTTATTTCACAGAGAATCCAAAACCAGTTCATAGTTTTCTTGCTAGACTATTTCTTAGTGACCAAATTAAAGTGGTTTACTTTTTATGTCCATCTCACGGTCAGAAGCTTAATGAGAGCAGTAGTTCATCTGAAGGCAGCACTGTAGACATTGGAGCACCTGCCGAGGAGCAGCCTGTAGTGGAACCCGAGGAAGCCCTTGAACCTGAAGCCTGTTTCACTGAAGGTAAAAAAATGACCTCGTGTTAATCTTACATTTATAGAGTGCAGTTGTTTTTTTTTTCTTTTTTCAAAGCTGTTGATCATCCAAAATGGACAACTCAGAATAGAGTAGTACATTGTAGTCAATCTATTTTAATTACTTCTAATAAGCTAACATATGTAAAATCTCTCATTGTATTTTGGTTATACCTGCCATGTGTAAGGAACCATGAACATGGAGAAAAGATCATTTAATGTAGTCAGAATGAATGACTAATTTATAATTTTTCAGATAGAATGGTGATTTTGCAAGAAGTCAGCATCTTAAACATTAGTCAAAATTCTCATACACAACATTTGCTTTAAAATAATTTTTATATTATTATCAAATGAATTGCAAGCCCTTTTTTTTCACAAGAACATCACTTTCCAATACTTGGGTGGAACAGGAAATAAGCACTGCCCCATTCCTGATCCCTGCACAGTACCTAGTTGAACCTGGCGCAGAATGGACAATAAATCCATACTTATTGCTTTGTTTTCTCCATGATTAGTATTTCCCATGAAAATAAGGGGCTGAATAGTTTTCACAACTTCACATTGCTTTTGCATGTGTTCCTACTACCCTAGGCTTACAGAGTTAGCCCAGCAAGATGGAGATGGCAATAGTCCTGAGAAAATGAATCCAGAACATGCCAGAGGGTATCACTTAGGCAGGAGAAGTTATTTATCTTCTCCTGTTTGAACATTATATTTGCAGGCTGTGTACAAAGATTCAAATGTTGTCAAATCAGTGTGGAAGAAGGGAGAGGAAAACAATGGTGGAATCTGAGAAGAACATGTTTCCGAATAGTTGAACATAACTGGTTTGAGACCTTCATTGTTTTCATGATTCTCCTTAGTAGTGGTGCACTGGTGAGTGAGTATCAAGCAAAAGTGCCGTAATACTAAGTTTTAGAATCACCTAATGCTGATGACTTAGTAATCCTTTCTGTTGCATTCTTTTACTATCCAATGCATTATTTTTCCTAAACCCTCACTGTATAGCTATTTCCATTTCCATGGAATCAGCTGTTAATCTCTGTTTGATAACCCCAGAACTGTTATCTCTATTTATGTCTTCTTCCTTCAACAGGCATACATCACTATATCCATCCACCCACCCATGCACCCACTCGTATCTTTCTACCTATCTCCAAGGCATTTTTAGTAACACCACTTCATATCTTCCAGACTATAGACAATGTATAAATACACAGTTCTGCATTTACTTTTATTATGTATTCACACATTTCTAATTAACTAGTTCTTAATTTTCATTTATTATTAAGTAATCCAGAAAACCTGTCCTTCTAATTTATTCATGATAACCAAAGGACATGAGTATTTACTTACTCATATTTTAACAACAAAGTAAGCATGATAATACAGAGTAGTTAAAGTCCTGTGGTTTGGGTATATATATTAATATAATTTCTATGTTCTGATGATTTTATTTATGAATTATATTATTATTATCTCTTTACGGACAGTCGATAAGTCCTTAGGGACCACTTGTCTGTCCCTTTTGAAATGCATCCAGTGTTCTTTTGTTACTCCAAAACCAGCGAATATTGGTAACAATAAATACTGGGCAGTGTGCCTAAGTAATCATTTAAAGATTGGTTTCTCTCTGGATAAAGGTGTTCATTTCATCAGAATCAATTTCTATTTATATAAAAATCATTTACAAAATGTAAAGTATAGCACATAGATAGCATTTTAGGAAAATGCTGACACAAATAGACTACTTAAGCCATAAAATAGATGTAGACAGACAGACAGACAGAGATGGAAAGATGATACAGTACTTAACTGAAACACAATAACTTAGGTTTATTTAACTTAAAACTGTATAATTCTAACACAGGCCTATATTTTTCTGCATATTTCTCTGATGAAATAAATTTTATCTACATGCTACTTTAGATAACAAATAGTTTTTTCACCATTTAAATGAATATAGACTTAGATATAAAGTGTCATTGAGGTTCATATTAGAGGAAGAATACATATTATAGTCTAAATGAGAAGGAATTTCATCCTACCATCTTTGTTACACCATATCTTTGCTGATAAACTGTCAACAAAATGAAGGGGACAAATGAACTCAACTGTATAGTAAAATTAGGTGATGTATTGATCAATTATAATTTCTGCTTTATGGAAAATATAAGCCTTTTTATTTCTTCAACCTCCTTTCTGTGGAAAAACTAAAGAGGCCAACAAGAGGAGGCAAGAGATATGAAACAAGGAGAATAAAAAACTTCACGTTGGGATACCAGCATCAAGATGTGACATCAAGAACTATTTCCTGAACAAGTCACTTGAATTCCTTAGAGTTATGCTTTTATTTCTTCCTTTTAGTTAGATCAATAGAGAGCATAACTTTTCTCCTGATTCATTAAAAGATCTTTGAAATAAAGAAAAAAAAATCAATAACTACTTTTTCTCTACCCTCATATTCCAATGAAATGTCATTTTATGTATGTGAAAAAAAGGAAAAAATATGTAATCAGGGAAAACAGCCTATAATAGTTGTAGTATAAAAGTTTCAGAAAACTAAAATGCATAACTTTTCTTTATAGGCATTTGAGGATATATATATTGACCAGCGAAAGACGATCAAAACAATGTTGGAATATGCTGACAAGGTTTTCACTTACATTTTCATTCTGGAAATGCTTCTGAAATGGGTGGCATATGGCTATCAAACATATTTCACCAATGCCTGGTGTTGGCTAGACTTCTTAATTGTTGATGTAAGTATCCTCCATATTTTTGTCTTTCATTCAAGGTAATTTGTCTTATCTTTAAACTAATTCCAAAATACTGAATCTTTGATCACTCTGTTATGTTGACAGGATATGCTACTTAATAGACACTGAACTAATTCACTGAATAATAGTGTAGTTTTTGTAATAAATAAGCTAATTTAGTACTGATTTAGCATTGGGAGGATGGGATTTGTGGTGGTTATCTAAGATAAAAATCTGGGGGGACACATCAGAAGTTTGTAGAGAGAATGGTGAAATAGGATGTGATGTTTAAGTTACTTTTATTAATATTATGATTCAAACAGAGTTGAGCTGGAATCCCAGCCCCACCACTGATTTTATGTGCCACTAAGTTACTTGGCTCCTGACACTATAAAATGATCATATTAGTACATAAGAGTTAGAGGCACTCAGTAAACAAACAAACCAGTGATGATGGTAGAAGCTACCATCAATTTTTAAAAAATTCTTTTTGATTTTCTTAAAGGATATTTTTAAAGAGTATATTATATAGCTTGTAACTAAATTATAGACAGTAAGATGTATGGGAAATAGTGAAAAAACTCTACTTCATGCAGTGATGGGAGTTACTCTAGAACATAACTAGATTTACGGCAAGCCCATAATATACCAACAGCCCTTCACAGAGTTGGTGTATTCAACAATTAATACTTCATCAGCCCAAAGCAAGTAGCTGTCTTTGAGATTTGCTAAAGGCAAACATCATGCTTTATGTTTGGCATATTTTCAGCTTTAAAACTGTATTTTCAAAATACCACAGACTTCATAGGCATTTTGTTCTCCTAAAATGATAATCCAGCAGAACTACTCAATTTTCTTATGGAAAGTATTTGTAGAACTAAGAGCCATGCAGTATCTCTTTAATTCTGTTGAACAAAGGCAAATCCAGAGCTATTTGGGAAGCTTAATGTTACTGTGAAATGAGTAAATTAGAAAAAAAAATAAAACAACCTCAAAAGAGTGATAAGTGGCTCATATTCTACATACATAAATAGCTCATACAACTCAACATCAAAAAGCAAACATCCCAATTAGAAAATGGGCAGAAGAACTGAATAGACATTAATCCAAAGAGGAAATCCATATGGCCATTAGAAACATGAAAAGATGCTCAGTATCACTAATCATCAGGGAAATGAAGATCAAAACCACAAAGAGATATGACCTCACACCTGTCAGAGAGGCTATCCTCAAAAGGGCCACAAATGAAAAATGTGGAGAAAAGGGAACAGAGGTACACTGTTGGTGGGAAAGTAAATTGGTACAGTCACTGTAGAAAACAGTATGGAGGTTCTGCAAAAAACTAAAAACAGAACTACCATATGACCCAGCAATTCCACTCCTGGGTATGTATCTGGAGAAAATGAAAACATTAATTTAAAAAGGTACATGCACCCCAATGTTCATAGCAGTATTTTTACAATCACCAAGATGTGGAGGCAGCTTAAGGATCCATCAAGAGATGAATTGATAAAGAAGATTTAGAATACTACTAAATAGAATATTACTCAGCCATAAAAAAGAATGAGATTTTTGCTGTATGTAACAACATGAATAGACCTGGAAGTTGTTATGCTTGGTGAAATAAGTTTGACAAGTGTGTATGTTATCACTTAAATGTGAAATCTACAAAATAAAGCAAACTAGTGAATATAACAAAATAGAAACATATCTCACAGATGTAGAGAACAAATTAGTGGTTACCAGTGAGGAGAGGAAATGGTGGAGGGGCAAGATGGGGTAGAGGATTAAGAGATACAAACTACTATGTATAAAATAAGTAAGTCACAAGGATATATTGTATAGCACAGGGAATATAGCCTATACTTTATAGTAACTTTAAATGGAATATAATCTATAAAAATTTTTAATTACTATGTTGTAAACTTGAAACTAATAGAGTACTGAAATCAACTATACTTCAATTAAAAAAAAAAAACCTCAAATGAATAATTGCTTCAGCATTTCACAAAGAGAAAAAAGTTTCTGTTATTGATATTTCAAACACTAGAAGTTATTTCATATTTCAACTCCTCAAAAACTTTCAAATTAGGCTTTAAATCTAAATGTAATTTAAACTTTTAGAAAATTTTTAAGCTTTACTTTTCTTTATTATATTTATTACCTGTCTGAACTTTTTAGTGGAAGAATAATGATTTTGTTATTGTAAGTTGGTTTTTAATAGCCATTTCCAAAATAGTTTAGGAAAATAATTCTATAGAGAATTTTGTAGTTTTGCAACAATAATACTTTCATTTTTCAAGGTTCTATTTTAATTATTTCTTAAGGATAAGTGTATCAATCTAAAAAAAAGACAAAAGGAATTATACCACATCTCAAAGTAAAAAGTGCCAACTTAATACACTAAGATATACAAAATTTTGCAAAGATAGTGTTTAGTTTATTTGGAACTATCCAGTATTCTATTCTCAAACCAAAGAAATTCTATTTGGATACAGAGTTTTGGTCTTTATTTAAAGAATTAGACACCTAAAGTTTTATTTCTTAGTTATTTCATATTTCATGCAAATTAAGTTTAGTTAGTTTATTTAATAAATATTGACTGGCCATTTTGGGTCAAGTACCATGGCAGGGGGCTCTAAATTAGTATTAAAAATTTGAGTAAATTTCATGATGGAATTACTTTTAAGTTACATTATTTATATAGAAATAAACTTTAGGCAAGTGAAAACACAGAGTATTAGCAAGACACCAAAAAAATCACTGCCAAAAAATCAACCTCAAAACTAATGTGACTTAGTGCATTAATTTCTGAGGGTATCAATTATCATTAATTGAAAACACCAACCAACACAGGATATAGATTGCTTGCCTTTTCTGATACAATTTCAGTTTTTACATTTTATTACTGCTGCTGCTGCTAAGTCGCTTCAGGCCATTGGCAAATCTCTAAATTCCACAGCAACTTAATAAAGGAAGGATAATCAATGACATTTTCTTGTACCTGGCTTTCTTCCTTTTGAAAATCAGTTTTTATTTAGGTTTTCTAACTACTTGAGGGATTAATAAATCACATGACATTTATTGTTTTTTATTCAACTAGCTTTAGATAACATCATGAAAGCTACTTTCTTTGTATTAAACTAAAAATATTTCCTTAAAATTTTAAGTGGTTTACTAAAAACATGTAAGCATTTATCTTATGAATAATTATAAATAAAAACTGTTAATTGTTACAACATTGCAATTCAACTATGTGTGGAAGTGTTAGTCACTCACTCTTGTCCCACTCTTTGCAACCCCATGGACTGTAGCCTGCCAAGCTCCTTTGTCCCCTGAATTCTCCAGGCAGTACTGGAGTGGGTAGCCATTCCATTCTCCAGGGGATCTTCCCAACCCAGGGATAGAACCCAGGTCTCCTTTATTGCAGGTAGATTCTTTGCCATCTGAGCCACCATATTTCAATAAAATAAAATTGTAATAAATTATAATTGTGCTACAGAATACTACAAATTGAATGGCAATAATTCTATTTTTACTTATTTATTTTTGTATGCTTTCAGGTTTCATTGGTCAGTTTAACAGCAAATGCCTTGGGTTACTCAGAACTTGGTGCCATCAAATCTCTCCGGACACTAAGAGCTCTGAGACCTCTAAGAGCCTTATCACGATTTGAAGGGATGAGGGTAAGAACCATGAAAGAACATGAAGCATTGTATATAGCCAAAATTAAACTAAATTTTAAAAAAGGAAAACTCATGCATGCAAAAGGAATGGCAAATCCTTGCAAAATTGCTACTTTATCTTTTTATCTGTTGCATATTTACTTCTAGGTGATATGCAAGAGAACTTAGGCCTCCTTTGAAATGATATAATATCATTTATCTGCTGTGCTCATTAAAATGACTTTATTTCTTAATCCGTTTTGGGAGTTTCCTTGCAAACCTGTACACAAAAAAGCAGATGCAATATTAAAGTACTATGTGTCATGATGATGATGATAATAACTAACAAAAATAAATCCTACATCATGTGGTTCTCATTTGTGATGGTCTAAACTGTGTTCAATGAGTTTTACTGAAAATAATATGAATCATGCCTAAATATAAAAGAAAAAAATTTAAGTTGTCAAAATTTTGTCTGTACAATGCCAAAGTTAGCCTTATTTAAATGTTCAAGGTAGATATTAAAAGATAACTAAATTTCAGAGTTTAAAAAGTTATATTAATATAACCTCAACCTGTAACTGTATTAATCTTAATTTATATAAACAGTAATATCAACTTTAAGATTATATATAAGTGCTAAGTTGCTTTAGTCATGTCCAATTCTGTGTGACCCTATGGAATGCAGCCTGCCAGGCTCCTCTGCCCATGGGATTCTTCAGGCAAGAATACAGGAGTGGGTTGCCATTCCCTTCTCCAGGGGATCTTCTGAACCCAGGGATAGAACCCAGGTCTGCATTGCAGGTAGATTCTTTGCCATCTGAGCCACCAGTCTTATGAGATCCTCACATTTTTACTAAAATGTTACTAAAATTCTCTTCAGGATATGTGAAAATAAAGTTTATTTTAATAGAGAAAAATATCATTTTTATATATTGTACTTGAAAGGATTTTTTTATGTTTTTTTAAAACAGTTGATCAGAAGTCACATTTGAACAGGGGCTTCCCAGGTGGTGCTACTGGAAAAGAACTCACCTGCCAATGCAGGAGACTTAAGACCTGAGTTTGATCCCTGGGTTGGGAAGATCCCCTGGAGAAGGGAGTGGCAACCCATCCACTATTCTTGCCTGGAGAATCCCCATGGACAGATGAGCCTGATGGGCTACAAGTCCATAGGGTCACAAAGATTTGAATATGACTGAAACCACTTAGCATGCATGCACATTTGAAAAGTTTTCTGAAATCTGAACAGTTCTAAGGATCTGAGGCTCTTATAATTATTTCAGGTTTGACCTTTTGTAAGTTGACTAAATCCATGAGTCCAAAGGCCAGACATTTTCATATTTAACACCTTACTTCCAAAGCAATACTGGATTTTGATCAATAATGTTTTTTATGCTGTAGGGGAGGCCAATTTTTGAAACTTGAAGTTTGAAAAACATAAACTCATTATAGATACTGATAGGAGATGAACTCATCATTTAAATTGTTACATTTATGAATATAGTCCTTGCCTATAATGACAGCATGTATACAACCCTAAAATGGCTGATGGTTTCAACATGTATTTGGCATTGTAAAGACAAAGTAACCTGATTATTGATTCTATTTGTGTGTGTTTGTTTCTGGTGTTTGGAATTTTTGACTTTGTTAAAAATATAAGCATATATGCTGGTGAGGATGGAAATAATAATGATGATTATAATTTAGAAGTGAGCTTTGAATATATTCAGAAACTCTCATTTTATTCTTTTCCCTAGTGGCATAAAATCACAATGGCTATGTCAAAGTGTAAATCAGACTCATTTTATTTTTGTTGTTTTGTCGCTTTTTCAAAGCATGTGCTTTAATGCAATATTACCAAGTAAAGCATGTCGTATAGTGCTTGATAAGAAGTTAGAAAGTGAGAAATAAATTATCATCACTTTGCCCTTTATGTTTTGCATGTTTTATGCACATTTCTGGCTGACAGCTTTGAAACATTTATTGTATTTCAAATTTCCAGTCCAAATTTTTTAACTTGTAAAATTGAACTGAGTGAATTGATGTCATGAATAACTTGAGTAAAATACATTTTGTATTTTCAATTTCCTTATCTAGGAAATCTTAAATACCTTCTTTTTTTTTTCAAAAGAACTCAAGTCTTGATTGATAGGGAAACAGAGAGCATCATATACAAAAAGTAACACCAATTGTTCTGTCATATCAGATTTCTAACTAATAACAAACTATATATTTCTATTTTGTATAGGATAATCTTGCTCCAACTTGGATGGGGTGGAGCGCTGGTTCCGCCCCTCAGCCCTTTATTATGGGTACTGTATTACCCCTTTTGCTTCCTTTCATCCTTTCACTGTGACTTTGTGTAGTGGGATGAGGGAGGGGTTGGGAGGGGTACTATTGTACCACAGTAAGAAAAATAAAATATTTACATTCTAATCCCCTATTTTCAATTGCCTTAACTTTTCTTTTGAGAAAAATACCTTTTGTGAATTTACCCTCTGTGGATTTGAAGCCCAGCTGTTGATATCCTTATTAAGTTTCACTGAATCTGATCAGATGTGTATATATTGAGTTATCCATTTATGGGGAGATTATCTATCTGATTGGTGATGGGGGGGGACCCTGTTTCAGAATGGTTGAATAAAATTTTTAACTTGTCAAGTTGAGTGATGCTCTTTGAGTCATTTAAAAGGATCCTTGCTATTTTCTACATTGGTCTGAGTCCTAAAAATTAATATCAAGTTACCAACAGTGGCTTCTTGCCTTGTTGATCTGTGTGAGCAGATGCTGGAGTGTAAAAATCCCAGGTTTCATAGACTGGAATTGATTGTGTGGTCATTCTCATGTTTTATTAAGTGTAAGTTTATAGGGGTTATTTTTCAAATGTAAAAAAAAAAACAAAAACATATTAAGATAGAGTTGACTGAGCAAATGTGATATGTGTTTTAAGTGGGAAAAGTAAATTTGAAAGGATCCACTTATTTGAATTATACAGACAAGAACACCCACCTGGAAATAAAATATCATGTGTATTTACTGCATAAACTGACTTGATAGAATATATCACTCCCAACTAACCTCTTAGTGTCTTAGAAGACAGCACAGTGAAGGCCTAGATAAAAACAAATCTGCTACTGCTATGCTGCGCTCAGCTGTGTTTAACTCTTGGGACCCCATGGACTGTAGCTCACTAGTCTCCTCTGTCCATAGGATTTCTCAGGCAAGAATGCTGGAATGGGTCGCCATTTCCTTTTCCAGGGAATCTTCCCCACCCAGGGATCAAACCCACATCTCCTGTTTCTCCTGCATTAGCAGGCAGCTTCTTTACCAGTGAGCTACCTGGGAAGCCCCACATTTTGTTTATTCTTAAAGTTTGGGATAATGTGCAAGAATGATAGTTATTTCTGAGGGAGAGAAGTAGTTTGAATTTTTGTTTGGATAATTGATATAGCTTATCTCTCAATAATAATTACCTTAAGTGAATCCCACGACACAAATGAAGACATTAGGTTTTTAAAAGATTTTATACTTTTCTTCATACTTTAATAGGGGTGATTTCTACTTTGCCTACTTTTGATTTTTATTCACAGTCTTTTCAGTATTTTGATTAAAGAAGCAGTAGAATCCAAGAGTAGTATTGATTTGAAGTTCAAATGCAATTTATTTAGGCAAGAGGACATTTCTGCATGTATCAAAATTCCCAACATTAATTTGCATATTTAATTGTCAACTTCTCATTTTGTGTTGATTTACTTAAAAAGGAGATAACAAACCAGAGACAGTTTCTATAACAGTGAGTTGTGTTAAAATACAGAAATTCTATAGGATGATGCTGTGCAAAACCGTTGTGAGGAGAAGCACCTCTAGTGTTAATTCGTTGAGATAGTTCCTTTCTTCTACACCTCCTTTGATGCAGCCTGAAACCTCAATCTGTTCTTTCCACTTGATTAGTCCAGTTCTGCCTAGTGACTTCACCACCTGGAAACCAATTACTGCAGTTCCCTGGAGCCAGAAAGGAGTTAATACACCTCTTTCTGTGCTGAACCAAGAGAGGGCTTGGGGCTCTTGGGATGTGAGTCCTTTCTCACACCCTTCATTGTCTAATTTAATGAAATTTTAAGAATAGATGGACCTCTGTAGAGTACGTCCTTTTATCTTATAAAAATAAACCTTTTCTCTGTACCAAATGTATTCGAACATTGTAAATGTATCTTGAAACATGCTACTGCAGAGCGCTTGCTTGTGTCATATATTATATAGAGTTAATTTGAATGCAAATCTAACCCCCAGTTTCAAAGGAAACCCCTCAGACTTATTAGCTAATCCCACATCTTTTGTGTACAGTTCTTTATTCTCATTCCTATATCTAGAAATAACACTTAAAATTTGTTTTGATCAATAAATACTAAGCTAACTTTTACTTCATTCATTCAATCACCATTTTTATAGTCCTATATTCAAAGTACTCAAAGCCTTGGAGAATTTACAAATATATTTTTTTATCTGAAGTAGGAAAGAAAAAGCCTACCATCTGTCAAGATTATGGGAATGCAATTAACTCTAGTACAGAGCAATCTGGGGAGCAGCTAAGTAGGAGCGACTCTAGGGACAATTAGTGCAGTGGAGTGGAAGAAGCACTAGATGCCACTCATAGTCTACTTTCTGAACTGAAGCGGCTTAGCTCATTTTTCTCATTTGCCAAATGAGAATGCAGTAGTAAAGTATCTCTATAGTCCTGACCAGTGTTAGAATTCTGATTTTTGAATTCAAAAGAGGAAACATCTCTATATTGGAGGCTAAACTGAGCAGAAGTGAGGCTTAATGATAAAAGTGCTGCTTGAAATACAGCTAGTGAGAAGAAAAGTGTTTCAGAAGGGGAGGAATTCGACAAGGAAATTCAAAGGAAATGGTGTGTCAATTCTCTGGTAGTGTTCTTAGCGTATGGTGACTACATTAGTTGGATTGGTGTGAAGGCTAGGTGGCTAGTGAAGTTAAAACTAGACATGTAGATTGAGGAGTGATTTGAACATCGAGGTAAGGCAAATATTTGATAATCAGTGAAAAGTCATTGAATAACTTTAAATGAGAGTTGAAGAAAATTAATTCATCTTACATGAATTAAAGAGACAATTGGAAGACAATGGTACAAGTTGGTAGTAATAGATGTCAGAACTAGATGGCGATCATGAAGATGGAGAAGTGATAAAGGAGAAAGGTTTTGAAGAAAAATGTAGACCTGCAGATGGATATGAAAAGAATTCAAGAAATAGGTATAGGTAATCCGTGTTCTGCTCATGGCCTAAACTGGGTGTTGTAGGTTTTAAAATAAAAGCTTATTTTAATGTGTGCTCTGTGTATACACAGTAGAAACAGCTTTTTAATCTGGATGGTAGGCAAAATATTTGGAAAAGGAGGGAAATAATAACTTGATTTCAGCTTTCAAATCTTGAATCCAAAGAAATCTAAGTGTATCCACACATTTAAAGTGAAGTATAAAATAATTCATTATTTATTATATTATATTATAATATTCTACTTATTCATTCAATTAATACAGATGGCCACATGAGATAAGGTGAGGGGCCATGTGTCAACTTGGTAGGCTTGCATAGCTCACATCATCTGGATCTGCCTAGATAACTCAGCTGACTTCATTGTTTCATTCTCATTCCCCTCTTTGTCATTAATGATTTTTACTTCCTTTGGCCCACTTATCACACTGTATTGTAATTCCAGAAGGCCTAGAGTTCTTGATAGACTTTAAACACAGCTCAGAAGCATAAGGGAATTGCCTCATCTATTCTTGTTTTCAGACAGTCAAAAAATGTGTTCTAAAAACACACTGGTATCAAATGGCAGGTAGAAGATGCCTGTTGTTTCTTTTAGATTAGGTTGACAAGAATGATAGAAGTACACAGGTAGAATTCAATTTAGCTGTGAATGTTCAAGTCTGAGGCATCATCTGCTACTTAGGAGCATATTAGGGCCTGTCTTTCTCTCTTAGCTATTCATGTGTATCTCCAAAGGGAACTATAGAGAAGAAAGCAAAGACAGTCATCCCTACAGTGTTGCTAAATAATAAAACACAGATTTTTAACTTGCGGTCCAGGAATAAAGATAAAAAGGGCAAAAATGCTTCCATTAAAAAAAAAAAAGGTAGATAATTATTTAGCACAGAACTTGATGTAATCACATCAGATTTGGGCATTATCACCCCAAATATGGCATCTCTCTTTTCTTATTTTCCTAAGAAACTGATTTCTACTATGTTTCATTTAAAATAAGTTTATCAAATTAAACTCAGTAAATGAAACAACTGATATGACTGGAGCTTGAAATAAGCTATGTGATGATCTAATGAAATACATGATGCTAAATTGTCTTGCTTCTTATGCAAAAATTATTATTAGTCATAGTGATGCATGAATAATTAAGGACAAAATTATTTAGGTATTTAATAATATTTTTATATTTATACACCTGAATTTTTTTTAGTTTATTAAAATATATCAGTCAATCAAATCAACTCTTGCCCCAATATTTTAGTTTCATTCTTTAATATATTGCTTTGTTTAATGAGTTAATCTTCTCTGGTAGGATTTCTTACTTCTCTTTTTCTAATAAACAAATTTTATGGCTTCATCTGGCAGCAAATTCCTCTGATTTTGTTTTCCCTTTAACCTTTTAGTACTTTCTCCTCTCTTTTACAAAACTTTTTATCTTTGTTGTATTATCTATATTCATTTCTCTAAATGTATGCTTATGAAAGAATATATTTCATTTTAAGACTTTTTATTTTGCTTTTAAATATCTTAGAATAGTCTTGATATTTAAAAAAAATAGAGTCACTAAAGATTACTAGGGGGATAATGTTTTTTCTTTTAACCAACAAGAATTCTGACTTTTCTTTTTTTCCATTTGTGTATTAGGTGGTTGTGAATGCCCTTTTAGGAGCAATTCCATCCATCATGAATGTGCTTCTGGTTTGTCTTATATTCTGGCTAATTTTCAGCATCATGGGCGTAAATTTGTTTGCTGGCAAATTCTACCACTGTGTTAACACCACAACTGGTGACATGTTTGACATCAGCGAAGTGAATAATCATTCTGATTGCCTAATACTAATAGAAAGAAATGAGACTGCCCGATGGAAAAATGTGAAAGTAAACTTTGATAATGTAGGATTTGGGTATCTCTCTTTGCTTCAAGTTGTAAGTGAACACTCTTTTCTCTGAAATGTGTTTATTGTCTGGAATAATAACAAAGTGATGACATACAGCTGTTGTGTAGTACTAAGAAGAAAGCTTATATATCCTTTTTTCTAATTTTGATTTATTAGTACAAGTTTATGAGCCCAGATGGGTGTCAGTATATTTAAACAGTGCAGACATAGTTGATAGTGGCCAGGTATTTCAGTTATTCTCCTATTATTCTCTCTTCCCATATGAACAAGTCGATGACTAAATCAACAAATTTGCTAATATTATTCCTATTGCAATTGGAAAGGAATTGCAAACCTGCACTGATCAAAATCCTCCTGCATCTTTTTCAGAGTACTGTGGTTCTTTTGCAAGTTCTTTCTACCTTCTTGTTAGAAATTCTTACTTCTCTTGTAGATGTTTCTGACTTACTCTAAATGTTCATGGAATTAAAATAGAGATTTTTAATATTGGGACAAGTATGATTCCTTTGAATATTATAGTAGACACATGATGGTATTTCCCTGGGCACTTACCCTAACCCTTAACTAATAACCACACTTGTAAATATCACTAATGTATATTACTTCCTCCATAAAATTGAGAAAGAAAAATGGAAAATTTCAAGCAATTCCTTAAAATGCTAGGGTAAAGATGCTGCACAAAGCCAGTAAATAAATTCTGCTACCAAAGTACTGATTTACACTTGGCTGTATATAGAATCATCTCTCTGTTGGTTGGCAATTCATTGAAATGGTTCCTTGAATCACCTTTACTGCCTTTTTTACCTAGTGTGTAATGAACTTGTTCTGTCATTGACCTCAGCCATTGACACATTCAAAATTTCCCTCTTTGATAGATAAATAAGTTCTGTTTTCTAACTAAGAGTCTTTACTTTTCCTTCACTGCCAGCACAAGCACCCATACTTGACTTTCTTCCCATGACATCTACCACTTCATAAGTGTTAGTGTTATAAAAACAAAGATGTGTTAAGATACAGATGCTAAAAGCTTTTTGCTAGACTTCGTGACTAAGATCCATAGTGTTCAAAACTCATGTTCTAGAACAAGTATCAAGTTACTATAAATTATTACACTTGGAATACCAACTGTCTACTGTACTATCTTCACTTTTCTCACCCAAATTAACTCACTCTCATCAAAAATTGCAGAGGAAAAAGTGGAAGATAGGATTATTTCTGATGTTATGCTTCAAAATTCTTAAAATGTTAGCTGCAACTGAGTTTTTGGATACCTGTATGATCTTTAGAGTGTTACAATCAAGAGAAATCATAAGCTTTCAGTCACTTTGATCACCTTGTAGGTAGATTTTAGGGGATGATCATCAGGCCTAAGACATAGTTGTTTTGCTACATAGTTTGTTTTGTTCATAATATTGCCAAATGTATTGGCATTTGTAAGACTTTCTAAAAGTATTCCACCAAATCTTGATAGCACTTTAAACTGCATGATTCCATTAACTAAAGAACTGAAAAGTACTTGTCACTTGGTTGTCAAGCAGGAGGATATATCAAAGGACCATCCATTCATTATATGGTCTAGAAATGGAGACTTACTGAGATATTGTTGGTCCAAAATCCATGTAAAATTTGTTTTGAGATGTCTTTTTAAAACATTCCTTTTAAAGAAATGTATCAGTAAGGATATTTATTAAATATCAGGTCTGAATTACTTTTACCCCAAAATAAAACATGCATGTTCTTTCTAATAGGCCACATTTAAGGGATGGATGGATATAATGTATGCAGCAGTTGATTCCAGAAATGTAAGTATTCGTATTCTTTACATTTTAAGTCTTTTCACAATATTGATTAGATGTTAAAAATAATTTAACAGAGCATAGCAGCTAATTGGAATGATTTTACAATGATTTTTTAAAAAGAAAACGTATGATTCAATACTCAAGTATAGCAGTAGCATGCACGCACATAGCAGTATTTATCAGAAATCTTACTAAGATATATCAAAACAGAAGTGCAACTAAAGTAACACAGTCATGTATTTAACAACTAACAAATATCCTTCTATTGACTATTTTTCTATTTTGTTTCCTTTCAATCTATCAATTACATACTCATTAATAATTTCGGCATGATAAAACAAATGTGAAGAAATATATGATTGCCATCTGTAGTTTACCCTCTATGTTGGACAAGTTAAGGATTTTGTCTAGGCAGTGTAAGGTTTCTGTAAGAGTCACTTTGAAATCCACTGCTTTCTGTGATGATACACTGTGCTCAGTCACTTCAGTCGTGTCTGACTCTGTGACTCTATGGCTTAGCCACCAGGCTCCTCTGTCCATGGGATTCTCCAGGCAACAATACTGGAGTGGTTGCCCTTCTCTTCTCCAGGGGATCTTCCTGACCCAGGAAATGAACCTGTGTCTCCGTGTTGTAGGCGGATTCTTTACCACTGAGCCATCTGGGAAGTGCCCTTTATACGATTCATAAATTTACTGGAGCCTTTACAGATACTGTAATCATTTCTGTGATCAACAGTTTCCTTCAAGTTTCTATCACCTAAGACCTACTTTTTTTTATTTCTCCTACTACAGCCTTTTTTTAGACTTCAAGAAGAGAATTAAAATCCATGCTCATTCCAAATCTGCTCTTCAAATTTTGTACAATTTAGTATTTTCTCTCTATCTTTCCATTCTTTAGGTCCCATCTATTTAGTCTATAATCTTGATGGATGACCTTTGCCCCCGTAATCTTTAAACTGACCTAAGAAGCTCCCTTTTATCTTTCTTGATGTGCATTTTCCATAAATGACTCTAGTTTTGTGTTGAGTACCTTCCTGATATCCTCCAGAGTTATTTTACTTTGTTATTGTTTTGTGTGTTTGGTTGGTTTTTAACTCTAACATCTTTAGGAGGACATGAATATATTAGGGTACTGTCTTATAGTGACTCCTTTATGTCTTTATTACATGCTAAGTAAAAGCTCAAATGCTTATTTCTCATGAGTACACTCTAGAGATTAAATTACTGGTTGAGCATTTAGCAGATGGCATGTCCAGTTGGATGCTAAGTCCCCTTCAGTTGGATCTGACTCTTCGCAATCCTATGGACTGTAGCCCACCAGGATCCTCTGTCCCTGGGATTCTCCAGGCAAGAATACTGGAGTGGGTGGCCATGCCCTCCTCCAGGGGATCTTCCCAACCCCAGTATCGAACCCAAGTCTTTAACGTCTCCTGCATTGGCAGGCAGGGTCCTTACCACTAGCGCCAGTTAATGTCTACTTAATCTGAAAAATTCAGTGACTGTTACACTGTTATAGACAGGGTCAAGCATCTAAATAAATAAATAACTCAATTCTTGTTTGCTAAATAAATTCACACATCAGGAATGATTATTTCTAAACATAGTCTACACATATTTACTGATGTAAAATGTTTTCACTAGTAATTTTTAAATTATCAAAATGCAGTATGTTAAAAATTGCCAACTTTAGTATACTACTGTCCAAATGGCAAGATATTGGTTGTATTTGTAGTTAGAAAAAAAATAATTTCTAAATCATTGTATGATATTTTTTACATAACACCTCATTTTCCACTTAAAAAATTATCCTAAAGGCTAATTTCAGAGATTATTTTTAGAAGTAGCTGATTTAGAGGAAATAAAAGTACTGCTTAATTATTATTAAAAATTTTCTTATCTATTCTCATGAAAAAGCAACAATGACTTCCAGCATCAAATGTATTATAATGTCTTAAAAAATATTCTCCTTTGGTAGGTGGAACTCCAGCCTAAGTATGAGGAAAGTCTATACATGTATCTTTACTTTGTTATTTTCATCATCTTTGGGTCCTTCTTCACCTTGAACCTGTTTATTGGTGTCATCATAGATAATTTCAACCAGCAAAAAAAGAAGATAAGTATTTCTAATATTTTCTCTCCCACCAAGATAATAAATCATTTGGAGGGCTTTCAATACCAATTGAGTACTTTAACTCAGAAACCAAATGGGATTATATATTACAATCTATTTTTTGCATGCTTCCTCTCTGCCATTCACTGCCCATGTCTTTGCCAAGAATGACTGTGTTCCATATTTCTGTGCATAGGCTCACAAAATCTCTTTAAATTAAAAAAAAAAAAGAAAAAAACTTCAGGGACCACATTTTCTCTTTTGAAAAAATAAAAAAGAACTGGAAGAGAACACAGACATATACCTATTTCCCAGACTTAGCTTATTGTTTTATCCCTATGACACCTCCCCTTAAAATATATTGTCCAACAAAAACCTTCAGAATGCAACAAATTATACATAAGATGTAAGCTGCTTCTGGTGCTTCTTTTCACACTTTCAAATTCTTTATTGGCTCCTTTTATATATTCCCACTTCATTCTCCCTGATATTAATTATAAGCTATCAGTTCTAGCTTTGAATTGAAAGTTCTTTATTAATTAGTATCATTTATAAACCCCACTTATTATCCTAATTATGTACATTATCATAAAATAGAAAGTAAAGAAATATCTTTACTCAGAAATAACCAATATTCACATTTTATGGTTTTCTGTATAAACTTTTTATACACACATTCTTATTACTGAAATTATTTTATCTATAAATTACTTTTGACTTAACATATATATTTCCCTTTTTAATCCTTCATATATACATTATCATAATTTACTTAACCATTTCCAAGTAGACTGATGATATAGGTTATTTTTAACTTTAAGGATTAAATAGTTCCTGGGCAAAACTCTTTGTGCCAAAAATACTGGAGCCTTTAATGATTTAAGATAAATTCCCAGAGTAAAGTGTTTTGCTTTCCTACTCATGCTACCAATAAGAGCATATGGCTGTGCTCAGGTCACCAGTGATTCACTAGCATCAAACATTCTCTCTGTTTTTGATACTTGGTATTTGATATGTGAAAATTGTATTTCATTTTCATTTTCATGTCTTTTATTATTAGTAAGTTTGAGTATGTTTTCAAGGGCTTTTTTTGCCATTTATATTTCTCCCTTCATGTACTGATCCTTCATCTCATTTGTTCAGTCTGTTTTCCTACCATATAATCGCTTTCACTGTATGAGGCTCTTTTACTATAGAACATGTCCTCCTTTGTCATTACTGATGTTACTCTGTCATCATTACCAAGGTATCTCATTTCACTTATTAGCCTGAATCCCGATTGTCTGTAACTACTGGCCTGTCACGTACCTGCCATGCTTATGAGTTTGACTTTTCTCCTAACTCTTGTATCAGCTTCCCCAGTTTCCTTTCTAGCCTTTGGCTCCAGTTCTTGGCAGAGTGACAGTGGCTTTTTATGAGTAACTCTAAACCATCACAATATACCTACTTTAACTCTTTGCTACATATGAATAAGAAAATCATTGTCTGAAAATTCTAAAAGACAGTGTGTCTAATGTGAGGAACCAAGTATTTAGTGACTCCGTGAACCAAATAGTACTACTTCCTGAGTTTTCAGTCTTGGGTAAAATACTTAACCTCTCAGTTTGTGGGGTTGTTTTCCCCCATAAAATAATAATAAAAATCATAAAGTCAATTTTGGATGATTGAAATAAATAAGATTATAGTATCTAAAACTAGTTTTAATTTTTCAATTTAAAATCCTAGGCAAATAATGCTAATTGGTTGAATTTTGTGTTTTCTTTTTTTAATGGTCCCTTTTCTAAGTTTGCGAAGAGTTGATTCATTGGAAAAGACCCTGATGGTGGGAGGGATTGGGGGCAGGAGGAGAAGGGGATGACAGAGGATGAGATGGCTGGATGGCATCACCGACTTGATGGGCATGAGTTTGAGTAAACTCCAGGAGTTGGTGATGGACAGGGAGACCTGGCGTGCCGCGATTCATGGGGTCACAGAGTCGGACATGACTGAGCGACTGAACTGAACTGAGCTTTCTAACATTGAAAGAAGGATGGTACACAGTTTTAACCAATTTTTATTTTTCTCTTCTATACTTTGGAGGTCAAGACATCTTTATGACAGAAGAACAGAAGAAATACTATAATGCAATGAAAAAATTAGGATCAAAAAAGCCACAAAAGCCTATACCTCGACCAGGAGTAAGAATTACCAAATGATATGGGGGAAAATGTGCAAAAACAAAAATTTGCCTGGTTTTTCTCACAGGAGAGATAGCAGCTAACTTTTCTAGCAGCAAAGATTTCTCCCACTTTTAGAGCATCATTAATTCATACATTTTATGGTAATGGTAAAATAATTTTTTACAGGAAGAAACCAAAAGGAAAAAGAGGAAACAGAAAATGTACCTTTATTGTCAAGTCAATTAGAATTATACAACTAGAATTGAAATGAAAAGGCAAAAGACATATAGGCAGTGTTATATGAACAATAAATTTGATCATGTAACTCAAGAGTAGTTGCTGAGCAATGCATATAGAGGAGTACAACTTTGATAGGGTTCAGAAACAGTTTCCTGATAGATAAACAAGTTGATGAACTGTTAAGTGAAATAATACCTTATTTCCATTTTATTTTTCATTAGAGGTAACAAGTATTTTGGAGATGAAAAGACTTCTAGTATCTAATATTCATATATATGGTATAAAGTTAGAAATTACTAATGTCTACAGAAGTCAGAGCCAATAAGTACAATTCATGATGATAAGAAACAGGTGTCATGTTTCTGTGACAACCAATGAAACAACTGCTATGAAATAGAGAGCCTTATCTCACAATGTATTGATTTTTATGATGATGATGTGAGGTTAAAGCAACTCCTGGGGTGTACTGGGGAATAAAATATTAATGAACATTCATGTTCATATTGTTCTAGCCCCTACTTGCTTTCCTGAGAATGATGAAAAACATATGCTGTCCTCTGTGAAGGCTTAACATTGAAAATAGAAATGAATCAAATATGTGTAGGAAAAATGTAAGACACAAGATATCCTCAAAGTTCCTCAGTGGCCTAGGGAAGTGGGTCAGACAATGAAAGTGAAGTGAAAGTGAAAGTCCCTCCGTTATGTCTGATTCTTTGCAACCCCATGGAGTCCATGGAATTCTCTAGGCAAGAATACTGGAGTGGGTAGCCTTTCCCTTCTTCAGGAGATCTTCCCAACCCAGGGATCGACCCCAGGTATTGCACATTGCAGGTGGATTCTTTACCAGGAGCCACAAGGGAAGCCCAAGTGGGTCAGGCAGTGGCCTGCAATGAATAACAGTGGCAAAATCACAGATCAGTGAAAAGCGGCATTAATTTTTGACATGAAAGCCTAAGGAATGTCTTCTGGTTTGATTATCCCTGTGTAGACTCAGTATTCTGTGTGTGACAATATCAGCAAAGACTGTTGGTGGAAGAATATCAATATTGCCACACAGGGACTTTAAACGCATAATGTTATAGCTGTGTCATGGAAATCCCAAGTTCCCTATAACAATTTTTTGAGAACAAGTCTGGTGGATTGTTAATAGATATTATATTTTGAAACTGCTGTATGGTCCAACTAATCATGGGAAATTTTGGTATAACAAAATTAAGCAGATTTCTTAACCTCTCATATTCTTAATACGTTCTCATGCATTTTGGGCCTCTCAGAGTAGTGTATAATAGTATGCAGTGTTTCTTATCAGAAGTCACTTTTTGACAAGGGATTGTTATTCTGTGGAATATATTTTGGTAAATAGCAATTTGGATAACTAAATTTAAAAACTTAAATGTGATTCAACCATCTTTCACGAAATTCAGAGCCAGTGGTTCTTAGGTACAATCCTAGACAGTCACTACAGAAACTACTTATATAGAAGTTCATGTGTAGAGGGAAACTCCTCTGTCACTAAAAGCTTTTCTGTTTCTCTACAGAACAAATTCCAAGGAATGGTCTTTGACTTTGTCACCAGACAAGTGTTTGACATCAGCATCATGATTCTTATCTGTCTCAACATGGTCACCATGATGGTGGAAACGGACGACCAGAGTGACTATGTGACTAGCATTTTGTCACGCATCAACCTGGTGTTCATCGTGCTGTTCACTGGAGAGTGTGTGCTGAAGCTCATCTCCCTCCGCCATTACTATTTTACCATAGGCTGGAATATCTTTGACTTTGTGGTGGTCATTCTCTCCATAGTAGGTAAGAAGTATTTCAAGTCTTTTTGCTCAATAAAAGTAAAAGAGTGATCACATTTAATTCAGGAGTCATCTGATCACTCAGAGAAAACCACTGTGAAAATTGTGATGTTTTTCATTCAGATGTGTTTGTCTTTCTTACAAAATTAAGCTCCTGCTATACATTGAGTATTGTATCCTGTTCAATCTGTTTTAGACTAGGTGTATCATCTGTCAATATAGTAAGGTCTCATTCATTTGAACTAGAAATGTGGTATTAAGATTGAAATGTCTTTGACATGTTGAGGTTGAATAGTCTATATAATATGTAAATGACTGTTGAAGAAAGGGCTAGAAGTTTAGTCTGATACTCAGGAGAGACAGTACATCAGAGACAGAGAGTCATTGGCATATAGATAAGAGTGGAAGCTGGTACTTATAAGGAAGAGTATAGAGTGAAAGAGAGTAAAGCTAAGAACAAAATGTCAGTGAAAATGGTAGGTTCTTTAATGCAAAGTATCAGAGATTTTCTAGGTTACCTTGAAATGTATAATAATAATGCATAAAAGAAGTGATTTGGCATGGAACATCATTTAATCAGTTATACACTTCAAAGCCTGGAATGTCAACAGGTCACGTGAGCAATAAACTCATCTAATTGAAGATACAACTCCAGCCCCAATAAAGTGAAGAGGTCTGTGGGCCTAGAGTATCCATTTTTTTCCTAAAGCAGATGATATGATTGAGTAAATATTTTACCATCCAACATGGGCACCTCTATTGGGTAGATTTTTATGCCATTCCCCGCTCTGAAGAAGTTGATCTTTTATCCAACTTATATGTTGTATGTACCCTTTGATTCCCACAGTATTTTGTGGTGGAATTAGTTGTGGATAGGGTACTTAGTTGTATTCACCTCTCTTTCTTTCTCTGTCTCTCTTTCCCTCTCTCATACACACACAAACATGCTTATTTACTCTTTACAAAATGATGGTGTAATTCAAAGATACTTGGTTTCTTGAGCTCCTCTTCAGCTCATTCATTATTTCACTATTTCGAAGGTAAATGGAGAAAGAAGCTTTAAGTAAGAGGGCTAAGACACAGATGTAGGAAACCAGAAAAAGCATCAGCTTAAATCCTTTTAGAAATGCACCAGAGCATATATAAATATATACATCTATATATGAATATTATAGTGGAAGCTTAGGGAAGCATCATGTTCATGGACAGATGAAAATAGCATTCAAAACTACAGACACGTTTATATGGGGAAGGACTGAATACAGGTTATGTGATCTGGTGTTTCAGGAAAAAAACCATTGTGTTCACTGTATTTTTATAAACATTTACATATACTGTCAGCTACTGCTCTTCAGACAGATGCGAATTTTTAACTTGTTTTTTTAGATCCAGTCTTTGGATTTTCTGTAAGCTAAAACTAGTCTATAAATACCCCTCAAAGATAAAATGTACTATAAAATCCTTATTGAACTGAATACTATCTTAGTCACCTTGGGGTTTCCCAGGTGGTGCAGTGGTAAAGAATCCTCCTGCCAAAGCTGTAGATGCAAGAAATGTGGGTTTGATCCCTGGGTTGGGAAGACCCTGTAGAGGAGGAAATGGCAATCCACTCCAGTATTCTTGCTTGGAGAATCCCATAGACAGAGAAGCCTGGCATGTTACAGTCCATGGGATCGCAAAGAGCCAGACATGACTGAGTGACTAATACTTTCACTATACTTTTCAACTGAATTTTAGCACTCTGAAATTTCCCTGTGAGCCTTATCAAAATTTGAGTATTAATTTAATGGATAACTTCTTCACTGGTTGGTACCCTCATCTTTTGTCCATAGGTATGTTTCTGGCTGAGCTGATAGAGAAATATTTTGTGTCCCCTACCTTGTTCCGAGTGATCCGTCTCGCCAGGATTGGCCGAATCCTGCGTCTGATCAAAGGGGCTAAGGGGATCCGCACGCTGCTCTTTGCTTTGATGATGTCCCTTCCTGCATTGTTTAACATTGGCCTCCTGCTGTTCCTGGTCATGTTCATCTATGCCATCTTTGGAATGTCCAACTTTGCCTATGTTAAGAGGGAGGTTGGAATTGATGACATGTTCAACTTTGAGACCTTCGGCAACAGCATGATCTGCCTCTTCCAGATTACCACCTCTGCTGGCTGGGATGGATTGCTAGCACCTATCCTCAACAGTAAACCACCCGATTGTGACCCTAATAAAGTTAACCCTGGCAGCTCAGTTAAGGGAGACTGTGGGAACCCGTCTGTTGGGATTTTCTTCTTCGTCAGTTACATCATCATATCATTTCTGGTCGTGGTGAACATGTACATCGCTGTCATCCTGGAGAACTTCAGTGTTGCTACTGAAGAAAGCGCAGAGCCTCTGAGTGAGGACGACTTTGAGATGTTCTACGAGGTTTGGGAGAAGTTCGATCCCGACGCCACCCAGTTCATGGAATTTGAAAAGCTATCTCAGTTTGCAGCTGCCCTTGAACCACCACTCAATTTGCCACAACCGAACAAACTCCAGCTCATTGCCATGGATTTGCCCATGGTAAGTGGTGATCGAATCCACTGTCTTGACATCTTATTTGCTTTTACGAAGCGGGTTCTGGGGGAGAGTGGCGAGATGGATGCCCTTCGAATACAGATGGAAGAGAGATTCATGGCCTCCAACCCATCGAAGGTCTCCTATCAGCCAATAACTACGACTTTAAAGCGAAAACAAGAGGAAGTGTCTGCTGTTATTATTCAGCGTGCGTACAGGCGCCACCTTTTAAAGCGAACTGTAAAACAGGCATCATTTACGTACAACAAAAATAAAATCAAAGGTGGGGCTAATCTTCTTGTAAAAGAAGACATGATAATTGACAGAATAAATGAAAACTCAATTACAGAAAAAACTGATCTGACCATGTCCACAGCAGCTTGTCCACCCTCCTATGATCGGGTAACAAAACCAATTGTGGAAAAACACGAGCAAGAAGGCAAAGATGAAAAAGCCAAAGGGAAATAAACACAAATAAATAAAAATCACTGGGTGACAAATTGTTTACAGCCTGTGAAGGTGATGTATTTTTGTCAACAGGACTCCTTTAGGAGGTCAATGCCAAACTGACTGTTTTTACACAAATTTACTTAAGGTCAGTGCCTACAATCAGACAGTGACCCCTTATTGGAAAACTGTGACTGTGTAAAAGGGAGATGACCTTGACGGGAGGTTACTGTTCTCACTACCAGCTGACACTGCTGAAGACACGAGACAAAATGGCTCCGTAGACTGTAGGGACCAGTTCAAAGGGGTGCAAACCTGTAATTTGGGGGTTGTTTAACACGAAAACACTGTAGTGTAGTAATTGTATCCACTCTTTGCATTTCGACTGCCACATTTGTCACATTTTTACAAAATCTGTTAGTGGATTCATCTTATTTTTAGTCCATATGTTGTTTATTATATGTGACTATTTTTGTAAATGGGGTTTCTGTTGGGAAATAGATTAAAGGACCTCTTTAACAGGTATGCCACTGCGGGTTATGGCAATCACATGGCCCTCCCACCTGCACAAGGACATGGTTTGCATGAGGGCATGCTACACTTAGAGATCATGCATGAAAAAAGTCACAAGGAACACAGTGAGTTCTTAAATTCCATCTATGTTTCTGGGAGGGTAATTAGGTGATAATTGGAGGTGCTTTGCTGATCTTGTTTTGTCAAATCCAACCCCTAGACCACTATGTCATTTTAGGGGGATAGCCCATTAAATCTTAGCAGGTGCAACCTTCACTCAAATGTCAGGAATCTTAAGTGTTACATTTCTGTTTGTTGTATTTGAAAAATACTGAATAATGAGTACTGCTTCTCCCTTAAAGACGGAATTGACCAAAAGAACCCTTTATAAATTTCTGCTTAATCCTGCACTTTGTTTAGCCATCTTCAGCTCAGTAAGGTTGACAATGTGTATGTTAATGAAATGCTATTTATTATGTAAATAGTCATTTTACCCTGTGGTGCACGTTTGAGCAAACAAATAATGACTTAAGCACAGTATTTATTGCATCAAATATGTACCACAAGAAATGTAGAGTGCAAGCTTTACACAGGTAATATAATGTATTCTGTACCATTATAGGTAGTTTGGATGCTATGAATGCATGTTTCTATTACCATGCTGCTCTATCTGGTTTCTCCCACCGCTCAGAATCTCATTTATGAGAAACCATATGTCACTGGTAAAGTCAAAGAAATTGTTCAACAGATCTCATTTATTTAAGTCATTAAGCAATAGTTTGCAGCACTTTAACAGCTTTTTGGTTATTTTTAAATTCTAAGTGGATAACATATGGTGTATAGCCCGACTGTACAGACATGTTTAAAAAAAAACAACACTGCTTAACCTGTTAAAATGTGTTTAGAATTTTATAAGCAAATATAAATACTGTAAAAAGTCATTTTATTTTATTTTTCAGCATTATGTACATAAATATGAAGAGGAAATTATCTTAAGATTGATATCACAATCACTTTCTTACTTTCTGTCCATAGTACTTTTTCATGGAAGAAATTTGCTAAATAAGAAATGAACACAAGACTGGGTAGTTGTAGATTTCTGCTTTTTTATTACATTTGCTACTTTTAGATTATTTCATAATTTTAAGGGGCAAACATAGATTCACAACTGACATCCAAATTATGCTTTGCAATTGGAAAAAGGTATAAATTTTTATTTACATTTTTGGTAGTGCCTATACTAACTGATTGAAGGTAGTGTTTATTTTTCATTTGTGTCTTTTTTTTCTAACTTCTGTTTATGTTTCCATTTATTTGAAGTCATGCTGCTCTAGATTGCTCTAAATATAATGTGGGTTTCACAGTTTTTTTTTCCCCACAAGAACAGAGAGTAGTGAACTTATGTAGTCAATTACATCAGGATATTTTGTGTTTCTTACAGAAGCAAACTATAGGCACCTCTTTTTCTTAAAACTACTTAGAATACTTAAACTGTATTCGTGAACTGCATGCTGGAAAATGCTACTATTACCCTAAATGACGCTAACCAACATTAAAAATGTGCAAAAGTAATAAAGATTACATTTTTTATTTTATTGTTTGCCCAGTTACTTTTGGTTAACCATGTTGTGTAACAAGATAAGTTTTATTCTACAGATTGAGGGACAAGGGGAGCTACACACACACACACACACACACACACACACACACACACACACACACACACACACACACACACACACACACACACACACACACACACACACACACACACACACACACACACACACACACCCGGGCTGAGAGCAAGAAAACTTGGGGTAAGAATGAGCCTGGAGGGAGTGGCCTACCAGGAACTACAAGCAGCAGATTATAAACTGGAGGCTCCAGCAGAACAAGAAGCAAGGGTGGGCGGCCACTCAAGGTACAAAGAGAATCCCTCAAAACCTATTAAAATATTAGAAGGTGCTATGTGTGAGCGGGGTCTTTTGTTTGCTCCTCCAGAACCACTCTTCCTGCTCCTCCACCATGCTCTGTGTGAGGGTGAATTTGTAAATTGAATCAACGGGCTCTCTTACCCTCTAGATGGCAATTGGCTTGGCCAGTGGGAAACCCCATCAGGAAAGCAGGAGAACGGTGAAATGGGGTGTTTATATCCTAGTGTCTTCTTTGCTAGGTTGCTCTGGGTTGGCAGTGCTGCCTTCATCAACAAGGTCATACTTCCGGTCAGACAGCCCCTCCTCCAATAGAGCTACTTTGTTGAGGGGCTGGTCATCACTCTCTGCCGTGCTCCCTTGGACCTGTGGCCCTTTACCTTGCTGACACCTTTTTAAATGGCCCCTTCATGAAAACTGTCTCTCTTGCCTCATTTCAGTATGCCATTTGTCTCTTATCTGGATGAAACAGTGATTAAAATAGCCTGTGAAAGTGGGCAACAGGCAAAGATTTGCCTGGGGTCAGCTTGGAGGCTTAATCTAACCAGCATTAGTAGATGGAGAAAGAGGAACTGGGAAACTACAGTCAAGTCAAGCACAGATTTCACAGAGATCGTGGAGCAGTTACTGGAGTGGTCCAAACAATAAAAGGGACAGCTGAAGAAACATCGAAATTTATGAGGAAAGAGAAGCCTCATTTGTTATCAGAATTGCACAATGTCAGTTATGAAGTCTGAAAGAGGAACGTGACCTCGATGAGAAGAGGAGCGGTCACACACAGTGCTTTTCCCTATCCTTCAGCTTCCTGACCTGTCTCTTCCTGACATCATTGCTCTAAAACACCAGGACAACCTATTCTGAAAAGAATTTCCCATTTCTAACCAACGAAAATAAGAATTATAGGGTAATCCCTACAGATTTTTTAATATTCCACATTCACATCAGTACTCACTGATACCTTTTCAAATACAAAGCAAATTGGTGAAACATAATCGTATAAATCACCATAGTCATTTTGGTATTTTTACATAGTGAAAGATAGTAACAGATTATAACCCGTTGAATAAAATAAGAATTCAAAAGTATGTATTAACAAATAAATGGAAAAAGTGAAAAGCTCTTCCTCACAGTTGAGTATTAACTAACAAATGTAGAAGAAATAATGAAAATAGAAAATTACCACTTGTCAACCATCATAAAGACATTCATGCAAGAAGAATCAATGAATACTAAAACTGATGGGTGAGAGTTTGACAAGGAATACGACATTTACATTGTCTCAAAGTATTTCTTCTGTATTAAAATTTTTTTAAAATAAAGCTTACAGTGGAGACACCTAGCAGACACTATCTTCATCAATTATGGGACAATTCTGAAGAAGACATTACTTCTTGTATCCAGTCAAAATGGCATAACCAGAATTTAATCATAATGAAAATCAAATTGAAGACATTTTATGAAATGACTGAACTCTTCAGAAATGTCATGAAAAGCAAAGGCAGACTAAGGACAACTTGAGGTTGAAGAGTTATGAAAACTAAATACAACATGTGATTCTGGATTGAATACTGGACTGGAAAAATAATAATTATGGATGTTACTGGGAATACTGACTAAATTTGAATATGGACTCTTGATTAAGTACTAGTATTATAAAAGTATTTTAATTTCCTTAATTTTATAAAGTCCAAATGAGGCTATTACATAATTATGGGTAATATCCTTACTCTCAGAAAATGCACATTAAAGTATTTAGGGATGAGTGGGATTGAAGGACAATTAAAGGACTTACCTGGTGACTCAGATGGTAAAAGTTTCTACCTGCAATGCGGGAGACCCGGATTTGAGTTGATCCCCTGGAGAAGGAAATAGCAACCCACTTCAGTATTCTTGCCTGGAGAATTCCACAGACAGAGGAGCCTGGTGAGCTACAGTCTATGGGGTCACAAAGAGTCGGACATGACCGAGAGTCTAACACAGGAAGGGCAATGAATTATATGAGTATATGTGTGTATGTAAACTTTGATATAGATATATGGTGTGTCTTCAAGGAAGTGAAGATTTTTTTGTTGCTCTTGTGTTACTGCAGTATGTATGTGTGTGTGTATTCACTTTATCACCTGTTTTTCTGTGTCCTGGAATTTATGAGTCTACTCTTAAAATTAGACATACTATTTCTAATTACTTCAAAGAACACTGCATTTTAATTACTATTCTTGTTTTCCAGAAGTTGCGTTTTTGAAGAGACAAGTGATTACATTCCTTATCCTTCGTGGTAACCCTTATGTTATGAAAAATAAGAATATTTTTAGGAGAGATCTGTGGCATAGTGGTTAAGACTCCAGTATTTGAAGCTAGATCTATTAAATTGGAAATTTGTGATCTAAACTCTGGTGATTCTGCCTATTGTAACAGAAGGTGTCTTATTGGCTATATGAGCTGGGGTCCAGACATTTTAAGTGCCCCAATAACCCCAAACACAGCTCTATAGGCCAGCACCCACATGACAAGTATTTCACATGCCACAGTTAACCTTGGAAATTACGAATGATGTGATAAATATTTATAAAGCTA